AATGGAAATGCTTCTGTTCCCTTTCCAGATTTACTAACGGCTTATTTCTAATGCATGTACAGGGCCCGAGCACAGAAAAGAAACTGTGTAATACACAACAGGAAGATTCGTTTCGAAAGACAGAAGTTTAGACAGGGGAATACTTTTCAGAAGCGAGCTGGTCGGCCGGTTTTGCCATCCAGAACTTGGTCTGTGGTGAGTTAGGGCGTGAGGAGCTTTACATTCTTCCATCACCCGTGTACAAGGTTTATCACGAAGACATAGTCCGTTCGACCGGTTCGATCTTATGAAATTTTCTGTTAACGTATGAGAATAGTCAGAGTAATCCCTCCTCTCAACTTACCACAAAGGAACAGAAGAGGTAAAAAGTGATGAAGTAGGGATAGGCGAGATTTGAACCGCATGTGTAACCCTCATCACGATCTTCGGAGTCAACGGCACATTTTTGGCCTGTAACAAGAAAATAAAATACCAGTCTTAACTGCCACTTTGTCAGTTGAACAGTAGGTGGGTGTCCACCAGATGTTGCAGTTCAGGCATAGGCATGCTTCCTTGTGGAGCTAACCGCCGAGGAGCTACTGTCTCATGAAAGGTTAAACAAACATCTGAAATGGATTTGAGAGTAGAATAGGTATTAATTATCATGCAGAAAACTCTCAAGATACAGCAGTCGCTTCAAGATGCCCGCTTGTCATGGAACTTCTCTCCGGCCACAGGCAAAAGTACACACTTAAAAAGACTGTCTAATTATTAGGATTTTTTTCGATCGATTTTCGACATCCCTACAAATTGAAATATATTTTAAGGAAGCATTACTGAAAGGGGTTTTGATTTTATTCGCTGGATACATAATTACGCAGTGCCGACAAAGAAAAGGGAGACTGGAATGACCATTTCTGGTTCATTAGCCATCGTCAGCTACTCATACACTGCGCCAAATGGTGCACTCCCCAAGTCTCGAACCCGCAACCTTGTTGGCTAGAAGGCTAATGCTCTAACCATTGAGCCACGGCTCAAACTACCAAGCAGTTTGCCCCGTAATGGTAAAAGTGGAGACTGAGACCCAAGTTAGAGAGGGACGAGCGAGTTTTCTTAACGATCGGTGAACGCTCATCAACGAGAGAATTTAACGTTTATACCCAAAAAAGCATATCGATCGATACAGATATTTTACTTCACTTCCTAAATAATTTCTTACCTGACATGTTCTACTTGCATTCGGGATTTCCAGACTATAGACGACATCCTGACGTGACTGAAATAGCTTGGGATCCTCTAATGTGATAATTAATATTACAATCTTCTGCAGGTCACGTTTACTAATCGAAAGCATGTCACACTTTTTGATCAAATTACTCGAGATAGCACATCTATCGTTTTAGCAATGAAGACTGCTCATGTGACCTTTAAGATGAGGCTCGGAAAGTGGATGAAATTACTGAAATAATTAAAGAAGAATTAGATCCTATCTATCATATTACGTGACTCAATGACCTGCCAATTCACTTTCGAACTTTGAAATTCTTATATAAACGGCTGCTGTTTCATCTTAAAACGGGTTTTTTTAAATTGAACAGTCCATTTATCCTCCCAATAAATTATAAATGCAAATCCACTCTAGAGCAGTAGTTGGACTCTTTTTTGTCTCCAGTCAATCGATTGAATTCATCAGTTCTTCGTCTCCGTTTGCATGATCTCTCGCCAAAAAATTTTCATTTGTAAAAAAAAAAAGAATGAAATTCTGCCTCATTTATTATCCCCCATATCACCTTAATAGCTTTATATGAAAAATTAGCTATGTCACCTTACTCACGTGTTTAGTGCACATGCTACGGTGGTGTGCTTTAATCAGCTCAAAAACATCGCATGTCAATAGGCCTTCTTCATGCGACTAACTCATACCACTGGTATGCATCTAAGTGAAATTTTTGTAGGCAGGAAAAGTCTCAAATATGCACCAAGGCCAGCCAAGTCGACGAGTCTTTCTTGCAAAACAATATATAGATATGATTACATTTAGTATATAGATAATAGATCATGTATTAATAAAATAAAAAGAATACATTTAGACAAAGGCAGTATATCTTTTAGACTTATACTAATTCTCTGTATCCAGCCGCACCTCTATCACAGAAAATGAACCCGCAAATGCCTCAAAGGCCACATGCGATCGACGATCTCAGTGAAATAGATTGGCTGAGGGTATCGCGAAATCAACTTTCCACCATTCATTCTCTGTTATATTCGATTTAGTATTTTTCCAAACTGGCCTGGGGTACATCGAGCTGGTTGACATTTCAAAGCTGACTATCCTGACCTTCGGTTGGGAGGCAGTACAAATAGGTAGTCAGTTGTCTTCTTCAGTCGAACCCACCACGACCATTTGATTGGATGGCAAAGCGTTAGTCTAACGACCAACTAGAATTGAATTTAAAGGTGGGGGGGTCTGCCCGACCTAGAATATTGTCAGTTTCCAACGTGCCCTCAGTAGACCCCCAAACACTGGAAAACGCCAAGCGGATCAGTTTGCGTCCATTCCAGTTCAAATGGTATAAACCACCTAGTTCCGCCAGAAAATGGACCGCTTAAACAACCTGGTTTATGACCGATAAATTTGCTGCTAGCGACCACAGTATGGTCAATTGTATGATACTCACTTAGACCTGCATGCAAATGGCCAGGGAAAGAAGAGCAGTATTTTTGACGCAAACCTAGCGCATGGATGCATACGTATGCAGTAATATGTCAAGCAAGCAGTCAACAAAAGTGTGCATAAGTGGTCTTATTACCTGGTACACACGCCAGCATGATCTCATGCCAGGCCTCTCCCGTAGCTGACCTATAGCGGTATGTTTTAGTTGAAAGATATTTCACAGAGTGAGATGAAAAGCTGGGATCATCGGTTTCATAAAAAATGGAGTTCTCATATGTTAAACCACGCGTACGGCTCCCATGTCGGATCACAGATTGAAATAGGGAAGAGCGGCTTACTTGTGAAGTCATTTCTGCGGCAAAGTACCCAAAGTCTAAAGTATTTGCAAAACACAAGCCAGTTTTTTTCCTAATGTAAGTTTTATTGCGAACGGTCCGAGTAAAAGAAACTAAGGTTTCAAGAATACTTTGAGTTCCTGTTCGATATAACGCAAGATTGTATGTTCCGCGTCATACCCTTACGGGACTACAGGATTTGGACTGTCTGGGACTCGTGAGAACAACACTTCTTGTTTTATTGGCTGAAACTTATGTTAAGTGAAGTGCATTGTGTTGGAGTAAATGCGCTACTGATTCGTATAGATTAAAGGCTAAACAGGATGTAGGATCCTATTTTTTTGGCCTTTGATTGCTAAAATCGGATCGGATAGAAGCGAATGGACGAGTTCCAGGAAGCAATTCAGGAGAAGATACGATCATTGGAACAAGTAGTGTATTGGCCCGGCGTTTTGGACTCTTATTCGAAATCATCGTCAGTATAGGAATCGCAACTAAATGGAGTAATGCTCCTACTGAGAAGAGTGAATTCTCGGCAGTACATGACATCCTCTGGTGTCTTTATACATTTTATCCGAAACAAGAAACAGCATTCCAACTAATCACCTGAGTGCACTGCAGCTAATTGATATTACGCAAGTTATAAATTTGAAACCCATTAACGAGACAACATTAAGCCGCCAAATGCGCTTGTCAAGATCAAATCTGCATGCTCTCGGATGTTGTTTTTGTTGTTAGTTTACTGTTGTTTTACGATAATTTTTACGTTTTTGCTTGCTAGCAAAATTGCGTACTAAGAAACGACAGTTTTCACGAAAAGGACGAATGTCCCATCTGCCAAGGACATGTCATCCCACCCAGATTACGAATAAGTCATTTCCTATTTATTTGCTACTGCCACCAAGCCCGGAAATAAGTGTATTATTCCTTGATAAAGCACAGCTGTCACATCGTATTTGACTGAAGATAACCATATCCAATCCCCACCATGATGCTTTCCGGTAGCAAGCAGAAGATATGACGCAGTAGCAGTTGACAGAATCCTCTTTCATTCATTAATGAACGTTCTCTTGGCGTTGGCAGCAAAGTACTCAGAACTGACCTTTGCGAGATTCCGCCAATGAACAGATAATTGGCTTACTCCCACTTCTGACAGGCAGTAACCGGAAGACGCCAGAGATTGGACTTCTCACTTCAGGCTTATTGGCCTGTCTCAGCTAGTAGGCCCTAGAGTGTATGACAGCAGGCACTTTAACGCTACACAAGACAGAGCTGGACATCTCATTCTTCGCTGCTCTTGTCGATAATGCATCTCGAGTATTTATAGCTCTTCAGTGCAAGACTGTCTACGAGGGCTATGAACCGAATCTGGAAGGCAGACGGAAGTCCATCTGTCACGCCTGTAATTAGGATGTATCGAAGAATGCTACTACGACATGAGTTGCTATTTTATTTAGTTTAAAAATAGACGATGAGGGAAAATATTGTTGTTGATACGCCGTTAGTGGCGACCAATATTAGAGTGGCTTTATTTTCTGTTGAAGTTTAAACGTAGTTCAGGCGAGCGTTTCCTGACAGGATAAGAACGCTTTACGTTCGCCAGATGGCCAAGGTTAGAATTCTAGCCAATAAACTTCAAGTTCCAGCGATTGCATATTTTTCTTCTGCCATATCGACACATTTATCAGTTATGCATAGGTCACGTCGATTGGTTGATATTCTGAGATGCAGGAAGTCTTGTTATGCGAACGTACATTTTCGATTATGCATTATCAGACAAATATAATAACATAAGGGGGGGGTAGAGTGATCACATTTTTTAGCAACTAATCGATAGTAAGTGAGGGGGGAGATGTTAAGTGATCCCCCTTACTTACTTTTTATTGGTTGCTTAAGGGGTTATTCCCTATATCTCCCCCCCCACATATTTCATTTGCCTGATTATGAATAATCGAAAATGTACGTATCATCGCTGAAACTATGAGATACTTGCTTTTTGCACAAGGCTATCATTAGCACACACAAACCCACCTGAAAAGCACCAGGAGGGCAAAGAAGAAGTTGCGGAAATTGTTGCTCCGATGGATGACCCCATCTTGTCCCGGCTCTTGACCCGGTTGGTCCAAGCTGACTTTGCCGAACAGTTGCATGCCGATTACGGCGTAGATGAAGAAGAGCATTGCAATCAGCAGGGCGACGTAGGGCAATGCCTGGGGGATGCGAACAGAAAAGGAAAACGAGAGGCCATATCACAATCATTTCGACAAAATGAAAGTTGTAATCGGTTTTCTTGTCTGCCTTTTCGCTAATGAAGCTAAAGCGGATAAAAAAAAACAGACCTACGGGCCAGCCTATTAGCTAACCTTCCTTAGAAGACAACTACTGCAGTATGCTGCTCGCGGTACGGAGCTACAAAAACCTGACAGATATCTTTTGCGCAGACTTCAAATAGGCATTTTGAAGGTATTGTGACTGTCTTGCCTTGACGGCTCGTGGCTCAGTGGTAAGAGCGTTAGACACTGATCAAAGGTCGCGACATTGGTGAGTGACGTTCACAAGGCCTGTGAGAAGGGAAACGTAGACACTCGTCGGTGAACCTTCACCGCTCACCAACGGAACTCACTCGTCCCGCTCTGCCTTGGGTCTCATTTCTAGTGCCCCGACAGCAGCCTCACAGCGCCTAGTAGGGCGTTAGATTTCTGATCAAAAAGGTCGCGAGTTCGACCCTCGGGTGGTGCACCACTTGGGGTTGAGTGGGACTGGCTTACGACAGCTAATATGCCAGAAATGGTCAATTCCTGTCCCCTTGTCTTTGCTGGCAATATATTACCTGGAAAATGCAGAATCAACTCACAGTTATGCACATTTCTAAAATCTGCATTTGCTACTAAATCCCGAACCTTGTCCGCTTAACCGTAAACCACTATGATTAAATAGTATTACATGCAACTATCCCAGAAATTACATAACGTCCTGCTAGGATAGCAGAGCGTTTTTGTTCTTCCAATGATATTATGATGCAGGCTGTCATCGGGTAAACAGAGAAAGACAGGTTTACTTTCCAGTACATCTTTTTTTAGGTGTGTAGTTAAACGTCAACTGTGGAACTGAATTTGATGGAAATACTGTCAAAAGTAACATTTTCCGTGCTGAAAACTGTATTCAGACGTCTACTCAACGAACGTAAGTAACAACCATCACTCAAATGAACTCCTGGTGGTAGTTGTTCACTTCATGAAGGTGACAGTAATTCTCACTCCACGTACCCGACCCATGACCAATGCTCACAGCCCCTCCTACTTATCCCTCCCTCTCCCAGCACAAATACCTTTGCACGTCGATCTCACTATGCGGGTGGCCTGAAAACGATGAGTTATACTCATAAGCCACTTATTAACCCAGTGCAACTGTACTAATTTCATCATCCATGCAATTCTAGCGGCCCGGTGATGAATTGCAGAAAACATAAGTTTGCCAAATAGACTTTTCGGGTTGGACATGGCAATATTTACAGAAATGCTTTTTGCGTATATCACGTGCCTTCATGTTGACCCAGCTAACGATTCCATCCGTGGAGTAAGGCCAATTTATTTAAAAATTCTATTTGCCTACAATAACTCGACCGTCGCGAGCTACTGCGTACCCCGCCATGCAGAGGACGAAGCACAGGGACTTGCACGGCTTCTATCACACTAACTCTTCCTCTCTTTCCTTATCCATCTTGCTCCGACGGCAAAACAACGCCAGGATGACCGGACGTGGGCGCAGACCCAGGTCAGACAGAGCCCATCGACTGTGGTCGCACAGACATAAACCAAGTTTTCACAGAGCCGAGGGACGACTCGACAGAAGTTGCCATTGGGCATAACAAAGCCTTAACTATTGGCTTACCAGACACATAAACTCATACGCACCTGAAGAGACTTGATGAATGTCCAGAGCAGCTTTCTGATCGACTCCTCCTTGCTCAGCAGTTTCACCAGTCGCATCACACGGAAGAGGCGGAAGAAGTTGATGTTAAATTTGAGGGTGGTTTCCGTGCTTGCCTGCAGACAGTGAAGGGAGAAGGCAAAAGAGACGGAAAAAGATAACAGCGGCGGTAGTCAAAATGACGAGCGGGACAAGTTAGTTCCGTTAGTGATCAGTGAACGTTCATCAAGGAGTGTAAAAATGACTCTGTCAAAGCATAGCTACCACAGAGAGAAGTTGCACTTTAAAAAAGTCTGTGACTGAGAATCTCAGGACAGAGGGGAGTGGAGATTATATCGCTGCCAAGGACGCACATAGCGAGAGTGTATGACGAAAACAGCGCCCAGCGCCCAGTGACATTGAAGTCTTCATGCAAGCCGAATTTCCTATCAAAGCCGACGCTCGAGTTTCTATTCAGGCAAGTACGGCGGTTGATTGCAATTCAGATAACTCGGCTGCTTGTGGCCAACGCAGCGCATCCGCCAATCTGCAGGTATCGAAACGACCTTAAGCGTAAACTGCCGTTTTGTCTGATGAATAGACCTTTTCAGACAATGCTCCGATAAAATTTTCAGGCGTGGTCGGGCAGTGACCTGGAAAAACGGACATAAGGTGATGGAGAGTTTACATTCTGGCGAAGACTACTTAGTGCTGAGCTTTAAAGTGGCGTTACAGAGCGCTGGGTGAAGACATAGGCCACAGAAAACCCTCGCTCCACGAAACCACCCTCAGCAATTAATATGCGGGTTTTGACAGTGAGTCGTCATTTGGGTTCTGCTCTCCATTCGCATGGAATATTTTGCCCATTATAAAGCGATTTATGGCGTTCTTTGTTGATTTGAACTAGAACAATGAGGTCATTAGCGTATGATGGTAGCACCGTTTCAAAATAAGTATTAGTTGGCCTAAAATCTGCAAATAATTCAAGGAGGATTCTTCATGATGTTGGCAATTGTAGTGCTTGGTCATTATGCATTTTCGGTGATCTCCCGGTATTATGCAGTTTGCCTGTCTAATTTTATTCACAGTGAATGGAGGACGTTTTTTACCGAAGACATTGGAATTATGGATAAGGAAGAAAGATTTTCGAACATTGGATCAATTTGTATATTATCATGAGCTCTCGAACACTTACAGGAGTCCATCGTCAGAGATAAGAAACAGAAATAAAAAGGGGGCTAATTATAGTATGCGTACACCAATCAACTGTCAGGAGTCGTCAGGTCGTGAGGCGTAATAAGCAGTGATGAAGAAGGCGGGGAGAATAGAGTTCGAAAGCTCCGGGTAATAAACAAATTGATCCAGTGCTCGACAATCCTTCTTCCTTATCCTTGCAAATACATGGAACGCGAATGCTTTCTTTTATAGTAGAATTATGCTTTCAAAATAAAGACTATCTCCCTCTCTCATCTGGTCGGACACGATCTAACAGGACTTTAGGACAACCGCAAGGAATCTGGTCATCGCATTTGGGTTAGACTTTCAAATTTTAGCTGGGACCTGAGTAGCAATTTCCTGTCCTGGCCGTAACAGTATGCCTCAGTTTTATTATCAGTTGCGTGACACAGCAGCACATGAAGTGGAAATTCCAACGCCCATATTGACAAGCTCTCATGCTAAGTCCAAATGCTTCAGAAATACCTTACCTGAAACCGTCATCAAGCAGCAGATCGGAATCCACCTAGAATTCGAATAAAAGTTTCACAATCTAAGAGGAACGCAGAACAGACTGATTCTCCTAAAGAAATGCCTTCCATAACATGTCAGCTTCGGTTAACCGACGCTTTCGAGCATTCATCCTCAGAAAGAGTAATGAAGCTAACAGTCAGATGTCTGCGCTTCGTGGTTGAAGTTGGACTGGACAGGAAGCGAGAACGAACACGTTGTGCTTATGTTAACATAGGGGAGGGCCTGTATAAACGTCTTCTGCGGGCAGAAGGCTGAGTTAGCTACCAGATAGGTCATTTTCTCTACTGTCGAAAACCTCCGCTGACGTTGCATTTGTAGGCGCCTGCTCCTGTGAGGCCTATTCAAGCGAATGCGGAAACAACATTCACACATCCAAGGTCGACGAGGCCAACATTCTTGCGAGAGGTATCAATTGCGTGAGCTGTGATTTGCTTTGATTGAGGTTTACGGGTGCCAGTCTGTATTCGGTACTGAGACTTGGTTTCCAAAGCCGCTGCCGGTGAGCCAGATGACCGAGCAATCATCACACCAAACTCCAACGGGGGCGATGACATTTCAGCAGACCACGACCCACGTGCCGGTTATCGAGCAATTAGCGGCCACTAGAGGCCAATCAGCATTGATTAAGGGGGAACCGTTAATTCTTAAAGGTAGGCGGTAGCCTTGTGGCTGTACACTGCAATATCCTGTGTACAAATTAACCTTATCTGAAGATAGGTTCCACCTGAAATCCGAAACGTGAGGGAAGTAAAGTTCTTGTCAGAGCGATCGCCAGATCAGAGCACCATCTTGCCTGACTAGATAAGGGCGTGAGAATTCCAGCTCTCACTTGGTTGACGGCGGCACTGAGTGGACGTCAGCCAAGCATTCCGAGTTATAGGAAAATTGCGTGCGCTACAGTTAGCCAACCCAGCCTTGCGTTACTAACCCAGAATCTTTCTTCATCGAACTGCCTGTCGCTACATGCACACTATCGGCTTGAAACTGCCTTTGATTGTCACTAGTGGAGACTCACTGCATGCGGTGCGATTACGATCGATAATTTATTAAACAAGATCTTGCTGCCAACAGGTTATTACAACATTTGAACAGGGATGCATGCACAACTGCTCCTCGTTTACCTCTAGGTCAAATATTATGCACAGTCTAAATGAATACTGTATGTTACGTTCTGTTTCCTTGTCTTTATTTAGAAACGCCGCAAAGTCCCCTTGACTCCTGCAGCTGATATGGTTGTACAGAAACTAGCGCATTAGCAATCAAAATGTCTGAGGCTGAGTTGGAATTTGAACAGAAAGGCAGGTTTTACTGAGTGAAATGACAAAAAAAACACTCTAGAACAGAGAGAGAGAGATTGTTGTGGCATTTTAGTAATTTGGTGGTTTGTGGTGGTTTAAAAACCTTACCTTGCTGACAATGATGTCGATATAACTGCCGAGAACAATGATGAAATCGATGACGTTCCAAATATCCCCGAAGTAGTGCTGAATAAGGGAAGAAGAAATAGCAGGGTTATTTTCACTTTCTGGCTAGAAAATTAATACGAATTTGCATACGGCATACGGCTTGGCGACAGCGCACAACATCTCTCAGACGGTACATCACCTCAAACACTTACTGACCAATCCCCACAAGGTGCATAGCCTGATGCTTTCGTGATAATTATTATCACGCATACCTATCTGTTGTTTATCCCTTCTGTAAACCGACACCTCAATGCTGTTTCATAATAGGGAGACTCAAAAACTAAATAAAAACGCACTTTAAACATCGGC